TTGTTGGATTGACTTACACAACAGTAGAGATGCTGTTTAGTTCACAAAGTTGATCACCTCAGCAGTCTCAATCTGGCCCTGAAGGTCTGGAAGATTCCTGGAGAGTCACTGGTGTGCAGTTCATGTTGGAAAAAGGCTGAAGAAGCTTGAGTCTGACGTCAGAAGAGGACAGTGGCAGCAGACACACACACACACACACACACACACACACACTGGCTTCAGACCAAGGGAAGGCAGGTAGCCAACACTGCTTTTGCTTTAGACTTTTTTGTACTGGGTCACCTGCTGGAAGGTACTCACTCCTGCTGAGTTAGACCTCTCTGGAAATACCTGTTGGAAATAAAATCTGGTAGTTCATTTCTAAAAGGGCCCTGAGCAAGCTTAAGTCCAGATATCAATGAACAGAAAGCACTAGACCCCTGCTGACGCCTGCCAGTCTAGCTATCCTTTCCTCACGACCCAGACTCTCCTAAGCTGCACACCATCTTGGAGTTTAGACAACTACTAACAGCTCAGATTCCCTGCAAGATGGTGCATCTGATAAGCATTCAAATAAATAATGTGTAAAACATAGAATGAATCCACACAAGGTTTTTATTGAGAAAAGCCATACAAGGAAGGTAGGACCTAGATAACATGTAAGCTCCCACTTTCCAGGTTATCCAGCTCCACAAGGGAGGAAGGACTATTGGTTTAGAAACTGTTCTCTGCATTCAGTCAGTGTGCCTGCCATTCCAGGCTGGTATCCAACTGTTGAAGAGCTAAGATAAACTGCTGAGATTTTGCTACTCTGATTCTTATTATGAAGTGAGAATAACTTTTTCCTCACAGATGCACACACAAGTGTGTCTCCTAGGTGATTCAGATCCTGACAAATTGACCGTAAAGATTATCTGTCACATCCTGGGCTGGTACAGGAAGAGTGGCCCACAACCGTGTCCAGGCCTAACATGTCTTTGGCCCTGTTTTTTCCCCACTACTGTGACCTTAGAGGTCACAGTAAATCACACCAGATAGATACCCAAAGAGGGTTTAGCACAGTGTGATGGTGGTTTTGACATGTCAACTTGACTGACCAAAAGTATTCAGATCAAACACTACCTCTGACTGTGCATCGCTGAGGGTGCTTCTAGGAGCAAGCAGCAAAGAGAAACAGTAAGGTGGGTGACCTTCCCAGCCACCGAGTCCAAAGTAGAAAAGGTGGAAGAAATCAACTTGCCTCCTTTTTCCTGCCTCATCACTGCAGCTGAGACACTGGACTTCTCCTGCCCTCAGACAAGATTCACACCACCAGACCTCCTGAATCTCAAGCATCTGTCTATGGACTGAATCGCACCACTGATTTCCCTCATTGCCTTTCTGTTGCTGTGATAAAATGCCCTGACAAAAGTAACTTTAGGATGGAAGTATTTATTCTGACTCATAGTTCAAAGTACAACACATAATGGCAGGAAGTCAAGGCAGCAGGGGCCCGAATCTCCTGGCCATGTTGTGTCTCCGAGCAACGAATATCTATGCTCAGCTCACTTTCTCTTTTTCATATAGTCCTAGATGCCAGCCAAGGGAATGGTGCCACCCACAGTGGATGGGTCTTCTCATCTCAATTAACTTAATCTAGATAGTCCCTCATTAGTGTGTCCAAGGACTTGTTTCCTAGATGATTCTAGATCTTGACAATATTACACATGATGGATGGATGGATGGATGGATGGATGGATGGATGGATGGATGGATGGTTAATGGGTGAATGGAGAAACAGTGGATGGATGGATGAATAGAATGTAGTTATTTATAACTCATTAAACACACATTATCTGGAGAATGCTGACTAATACAGATTTTAGTACCAAGAGTGTTTTCTGAATCAACAGTCTAGTCTCACTAGACTTAAAACCACTAATAACTATATTACTAGTATTAACAAGCCAGGAGCTAAGTAACTCTGCATATAATACTTCTGAACATTTTTTAAAGCCAAGATATCAGTCCTTTGCTCTTAATATTTCTGGACTAGGTGACAAAAAGCATGAGCTCAGGCTTTGCATTTCCTATCAAACATCACACAGATGATCTATAAGCCCTGTGGTGTGAGGGGCAACCTTGTCTCCTGAAGATGCAGAGAGGAATGTACTGAAAGTCAAATACAGAACCTTATGTGACATATTATTTATGATTTATTAAAGCTTACCTGAGGATTCAGAAGCAAAGCCAGCCTCAAGCTATAGAGATCAGGCAGTGGTGATACACACCTTTAATACCAGAACTCAGGATTAAGAGATAGATGGATCTCTGAGTCCAAGACCACCCTGGAGTACCAGAGAGTGAATCAGAGCTCACGCCTTTAATCCCAGGACTTGAGCCGTATAAAAGGTAGAGACATTCAGTCTCAGGAGTCTCTAGCCACGTTGAGGACTGCATAGCAGTCTGAGTGAACCTGAGAAGAAGTGAAATCGGGAGCAGTTTGAGGATCACCCCTTTGGTCTGAGCTGAGGTAGAGGTAAGAGCTAGTGGCTGGGCTGCTTTGTTTTTCTGATCTTCAGCTTGAAGCTTGAACCCCATTATCAGTCTCTGGGTCTTTTATTTATCGTGCTACAATTGGTGCCGGTAAGAGCGAGTGGCTGGCTGCTTTGCTTTTCTGAATCTTCAGGCAAGCTTTAATAAATCATAAATAATATATTACAGCAGAACCTCATTCTAGACTCACTGGATCACAAGGCAAGGTAAATCTATTGTTTAAATGAGGACACTGACTGGGAAAGAATGGATCCTGAAAGCTGGGATGGGTCATGTGGAAAAACCATCATGATGCTGAGGACACCAAGATCCTGTGTTCTGATGAACCTCTCTTGTCAGCAAGAGTGGTTCCAATGGGCAGGAGAGATTGTTTGGGGGTTAAGAGCATATAGTGCTCTTACAGAGAACCTAAATTCAACCACTAGCACCCATGTCAGATGGCTCACAACTACCTACAATACTAGCTCCAGGGGATCTGATATCTCTGGACTTTGTGGGTACCCCCACATACACACACACATATGCAGCATACATACACACACAATTAAAAATAAAATATTTTTTTAAATCAAAGAAGTGATTTCTACCCCATAGATGGGGCCTCCCTGTTTACCTGGGGGAAGTCTGTAAAGCCCAGGGAAATAGCAATGACCTTTCCCAAGGTAGCTACCAGGCAGGGCAATACCGGTTCCTTCCAGCACCACCCCTCCCTGTGTGTCCTACTTTGTTCTTCCCTTGCTGTGATAAATATGGCCAAAGGCAACTTGGGGAAGAAAGGGTTTATTTGGCTTATGTTTGAGTAATAGCCTATCACTAAAGGAAGTCAGGACAAGAGTTCAAGGCAGAAACCAGGAGTCAGGAACCATGGAGGGATGTTGTTTACTGGTCTGATCTCTGGCTCATGCCTAGTTAACTTCCTTACGCAGCTCAGGCCCACCAGTCTAGAGATGCTGACACCCATGGTGGACTGGGCCCTCCCACATCAATTATTAGTCAAGGCAATCTCTCACAGATATGGCCATAAGTCAATCTGATCACGGCAATTCTTTAATTAAGGTTCCCTTTCTGATGGTGACTCTAGGTTTGTGTCAAGCTGACAATGAAAACTCGCCAGCACAATTGTTTCCAGACTCATAAGTAAACATGGGTCCTGGAGCAGAACAATATGTGACCCACAAGGATATGCACTATACTTGAGAAGAACTGCTTGAGTTCTCCATTTTATACAGACAGAAATGTAGTGGTCAGGAAATCATTAGAATTCTTGTGGTAATAGATATCAAATGAGACTGTGAGGTAGGACAGGGTCAAACATAACGTTGGATCAGAACAGATGTATCGTTATGGGAGCACTGAAGGCAGATCTGTGTATCTAATGATACAGCTCCAGGAATCACAAGGATGAAAGTCAGGCATGGTGGTGCACTCCTTTATTCCCAGCACTTAGGAGACAGAGACAGGCAGATCTCTGAATTTAATGCTATCCTGATCTACAAACCAAGTTCCAGGACAGTCAGAACAGTATAGTGAACCCTGTCTCAAACAAAACAAAACAAAAGTCTAGTTAGGTATTGGTTGGTTGGCTGGTTAGTTAGTTAGACTGATTTTGTTTGTGCGTGTATGTCTGTGTCTGCATGTGGTGGCCACAGAGAAGGAATCAGAAATAGGAGATTTCCAATGGTTTTATGTAGAGGGGTGAATGAAAGACACGGGAAATTGGATATTTGAGATTGGATTTAACTTGTTTAACTTGTTTGCCCACACTGGAAAGGTCTAGAAGGCTGACTTTTACAATGACTATGAGAAACAAACTTGGGGCAGAGGGGAAGGGGCAGTATCCTTCCACTATCCTGTGACTGCTCATCCTTGAAGACTGTACTTTACAGTGGGAACCAAAGCTAATCAACTGGAAAACTCAAAACCAGTGACAGACATTGGATCCCAGGGTGGCATGGGCCATGTGGGGGCTCTCAGCCGGGACAGGCACAGTGGCTGAAGTTACTATAATGGAGAGCAGAGGCTCAGCCAGTCTGAGCAGTCTGGCAAGTACAGACCTGTAGTACTGGCTGATTGATCATGGTGTTCCTTCGGGGAAACAGATAGAATGTCTGCTACCTTCTTGTTTGATCTTTCTATGGAAAACTTCCAGGATCCGTGAGCAAAAGTGTAACTTGAGTCATAAAAACAAAAGGTCACAGAGTCTATCAATCCCCAGACCTGAGCCAGTTTGTGAATCTGAGCTCCTGAATGAAGGGGAGGCCTGGTTCACTGCAGGAGAAATCTTGGCCACAATACACATAAGGTTTCTTGTTGGTTTTTCCATTCACCTCCCCCAAGTGGACCCAAGACCCTTTCTCAGGTATGCTACACTGGAGAAGAGGAAATGAGCAGTGTGTTCAGGGCCTACTCAGAACTTGCTCTAGATTGACACTGATTCCAGAAGACTAGATCTTCATGGTGGCCCCCCAGTCAGAGTCAGGACTTACAGAGGTAAGAAGATCCATAGAGTGTCAGGTCTGGTCCATCTCAATGTGTGCTTATAGGTCCCAAGTTCCATTCTGTGATCATTTCCCTAGATCTAGAAAAGAAAAAAAGGAACAGATTTACTTATCCAGTAGCAGGATCCTTCAGTTGACTTCCTGACCCATACAACAGGAGTTGCTATGGTAACAAAGGCAAAGTAGAAGCACTAGACTAGAACCACTTCCAACTAGAAAACTGGTGAGGTGAGTGCAGTGAGATCCCTCAGGAGGACTGTGGATGCCATGCAGTGAATGGAACTGAATGATGCAGGGTGAGCCAGATATGGTGGTACATGCCTATAAGCCAGGAACTCAGGAGGTAGAGGCAGGAGGATCACCATAAGCTCAAGGTCAGCCTGACATACATAGCAAATTCCAAGCCAGCCTAGGCTACAGAATAAGACTCTCTCAGAAAAGCAAAAAATGGGGCTGGCAAGATGGCTCGGTGGGTAGAGGCACCTGTCCCCAATCTTGATAACCTGAGTTCCATCCCCAGGACCTGTATGGTGGAAGGAGAGAACCAACTCCCACAAGTTGCCCTCTGGCCTTCACATGTGCTCCATGGCATATGTACCCACCACCCCAACCCACAATAAATAAAGAAATGTATGTTTTAAAAAAGAAACACAAGTAGTAACTTCCATCCCCACCACCACCACACACACACACACACACACACACACACACACACACACACACACACACACACACACACAACTCTCCTCCTGGCCTGAAGAGTTGATGCGAGGACCCTAGAGGAACATGGTGGGATCTGTCACAGCTTTACTCAGGTAGTAACTCCAGTCATAGACTCCCCACTAGATGCTGTTTCCTAACCTGGGTGCATGAACATGTGCCCTGGTGGCTGGTATATAGACAATGACTGGCAACACCTCTTTCCCTACCCTTTCATCTGGCAAGGCCACCTTCTCCATCCTTCCTCAAAGTATCTGCTCCACAGCCCTGGTTCACAGTTGGATTCACAAGAACCTTATGACATTTCTCTTCCTTCTCATCATTGGCCTGTTGCACTGATGTCACATTGACTGTGAACCGAGCAATCCACAAGTAGCAACTACTGACTTCTTGGTAAGACACTGGGTGTGACAGGGAGGGAAGTCAGTTCAAACGAATTTCAACATAAGATGTCTAGGCACGTCAAAACATCTCTTCCAGGGAAAGATAAGCTATTACACATGATCCCAGCCTCAACCAAAAGAAAGCACAGCCTCTCATGGGCCTATTCATATTCTTCACTTGGATATGTTGCTCAGGCATTTACTAAACTATGCATATGGTCCCCAACAGGTTCAGATGTTCTTCCATAAAGGACTCTCTGACTCTCACAGAAGTAGTGCTGGGACTGCAATGACAGAGGCTAGACCGCACAGGGAACTAGCAGCAGACTGCCCTGCCAGATTGTGGAGGTCCTGCCCTTATTTGCAAAGAACCACTTCTCTAAAGAGAGTCTGCTTTTGGTTGCTCCTGAGTATTCATAGAAACATGTCTCACTCATTACTATGCATCCTAAGCTGCCCATCTTGGACCACATGTCATAAAGCTGGGTGTGTCCAGCAACAAGGTATCATCAGACAGAAGTGAGCTATCTGATTGGATCTAAGTGGGCCCTGAAGGCACAGAGTAAGTACCAGGTAGAAGTGGCCCAGATGTCACTGCTCTTTGCTCCTCTCAGTTGACAGTTGTGGCCTCATGGAGAGTGCCCTATGACCAGTTAGCAGTATAAGGGATGACCTGTGTCTAGCTTACCAAGTTGGGATGGCTAATTTTATGTTAACTTGACACAGGCTAGAGTCATTTTGGAAAAGGGAACTTCAATTTAAAAATTGAAGGGGCTGGAGAGATGGCTCAGAGGTTAAGAGCACCGACTGCTCTTCCAGAGGTCCTGAGTTCAATTCCCAGCAACCACATGGTTGCTCACACCCATCCGTTATGAGATCTGGTGCCCTCTTCTGGTGTGCAGATATACATGGAAGCAGAATGTTGAATACATAATAAATAAATAAATAAATAAATAAATAAATAAAATCTTTAAAAAAATGTCACCATCAAACTGGCCTGTAGAAAAGCCTGTGGTTCATTTCTTAATTGATGATTGATATGGGTGGGCCATTCCACAGGCAGCAGTGCCTTGGGTGGATGGTCCTGGGTAGTATAAGAAAGAAGGCTGGGCAACCATGAGGAGCAAGTCAGTGAGCAGCACTCCTCTATGGTTTCTATTTCAGTTCCTAACCCCCAGGTTCCTACCCTGGTTGAGTTCCTCCCTGATTTCTCTCAGTGATAGGCTGTGACATGTAGGTATAAGACAAAATAACCCTCTTTCTCCCCAAGCTGTTTTTGGTCTTGGTGTCTTACCACAAGAGAAATCCTAGTAAGACACCAGAGTTATGTAGGCACATCCTACAAGTTGACAGCTGCGGTGTTGCAGACCTCTTTTGAACACCCTTCCATGATAGTGGCGAGGGGACCCTCTCAATGGCAGAGCTTTGTTGGCCAGTGAACTTGGCTATGCCCTTTGCTTGGGATGAAAAATAGCTAGACCTGGATTATAAACCAGTTCTTGAACTATGTCTAGTGGTTTTACTGAATGATTGAGGATGCTGAATAAACTTGATGAGACTATGTATGGCAAAGAAAGTTGGGGAAGAAATACAAGGAGCTGGGATGCAGCTCAGTTGGTGTTCTAGTGTCCTTTCCGATACTGTGACAAACACCATGGCCAAAAGCAACTCAGAGAATGAAGAGTTAATTTCCCCTTCCAGTTCCAGAGGGATAAGAGTCCAGCATAGCAGGAAGGCATAGCAACAAGCGGCAGACATGGACCCTCCTAAACTCTCCCAAACAGCATCACCCACTGGGGACCAGGTGTTCAAATACTAGTGCCTTAAACAACATTTCTTGCTCAAGCCACTAAAACTAATGTGGCTGGCCAGTGAGCCCCATTGACACTCCCTCCCTCATTTCTGCCTCCTCAGCACTGGGATTATAAGCAGACACCAGCATGCCAGGCTTTTTTATGTGGGTTCTGGGGATTGAATTCAAGACCTCATGCTTTCAAAGCAAGTACTACCAACTGAGCAGTCTTCCCAGCCCTAGACTGGTAACCCCCAAACAGAAATTTGCCTCTCACAGGATGAGAAGTTGAAGATTGAGTTGTCTGGGGAAGACCTGTTCCTCCCAGATGTATTCCTCCCTGCTGTGTCCTAGCATGGAAGGATGAGTGGACATATCCCTCATGCCTGTGAGAACATGGTTCCCATTTGCTAGGGCTCTGTCACCTCCCAAAAGCTGGTATAAAGCATCATGTTTGTGGTCAGGCATTTTAACCTCAGGGACACTGCATTGCCTCTGGGAAAGGAACACACTTGCCAACAAGTGAAGCATGGCACGAGGCCACATCCATGTCATTCACAAGCCTAACTGTGTCTCCACCACTCTGAAGCAGCTGGCTTATAGCTTGAAGATAAAGTACAGCACCAACTGAGTGGCAGTGCCTATTAGAGCTGAGGCAGAATTCTCCAGAAGGCTGAATGTTCTCTGACTCAGTGTTCCATGTCCTGTACTGTTTCTCCCATAGTCATGATTCATGGGTCCAGAAATCAAGGGGTGGGTATGGGAATGGAACCACTAACCACCACCCCTGGAGACCCAGGAGCATTTTTTTTCCTGTTTGTACAACCTTATGCTCTGCTGGCCTAGGAATCTTGGTTCCAGAATAGGTGGCACTTCTGTAAGGAGGTTCAACACTGTCTTGAACTGGATGCTAAGACCCTCACCTTCCCCTCCCTGACTCCTCACAGTCAATCTGAGTTCCTCAGGCTGAGGAGTGGTTAGGGATTGGTGGAATGCCTGATCATGGCTACCAGGAGAGATCTGCAGTTCAGGGCTCCCTTAGGGTGTCTCTACTGTCACCTGGTTAAGGTCAAGGGGACCACAAGAACTCACAGACCAGGGAAAAATGTAGGTCATCTGCCAGGTAAAAAGCAAAAGCAGCCAAGGGCAAATGGTCTGCAGAAAGGGTGGTGGAAGAAGGCATTTCTGAATGCTAGCTAAGGCGATGTGACCTGAGACAGCCGCAAAGATTGCAGTGGCCACAGCACTTCCTCTTTTTTCTCGAGGGTTTCTCTGTGGCTTTGGAGCCTGTCCTGGAACTCGCTCTGTAGACCAGGCTGAACTCAAACTCATAGAGATCCACCTGCCTCTGCCTCCTGAGGCTAGGACTCCTTTAGTGCTGGGATTAAGGAGTGTGCCACCAATGTCCAGCCACTCCAGCACTTCCTCTTTTAATAATGTCTCTAGAGAGATGTCCCAGAAGTTAAGAGCACTGGATGCTCTTGCAGAGGACTTGGATATGGTTCACAGTACCAGTACCAGCTCATGATTGCCTGTAACTCCAGTTCCAGAGGATCCAACATACTCTTCTGGCCTCCATGGGCATGACATATATGTGGTGCACATACATACATGTATGCCTGCAAACACCCATGCACATGAAATAAAAACAAATTTTAAAAAACCCTTCAGTTTCTTGCTGTGTAGCTGTGGCTGGCCTGAAACTCATTATGTAGACTTAGTTGGCCTTGAAGTCACAAAGATCCATCTGCCACTGCCTCCTAAATTCTGGGATTAAAATTGTGCACCACCACACCCAGCAAATTTGTCTTTTTTTCTTTTAAAGAAAGTGTCTGTGGGTATATAGTCCATATGTGAGGAATCAGAATGTTTCCTTCATGTTTCTTTCCTAGCTTATTCCTGAATCATAGTCTTTTGAGTTATATGGATGTCAAGGGGAGACCAAACATCACCCAAGAACTATACATTCTCTAGGGAAGGGTTCAGGGGATGCTTGGGACACAGCACATGGCTGGCTCATGTTATGTAGAACCATGGCCTTGTAGTCTACTGGGAGATAAAGAGGGATTTAGGGAGATGTTGCCAGTCATGTGGTCCTAGCTACATCACTGTGAATGTGTCCTGTTGTCATGGATGAACTTGGCAGTTTAGAGTGTCAGCCTAATGGGTTATGAACTGCACAGAT